TCCTTGTCTTACTCCTCGGTTTATTTTAATAGACTCCGTTTGTTTCATTAGCTTAATAATTGCTGTTGCCTTGTTGTATATATTTGTAATTAAGTCGGTATATCGGTAGTCTATTCTGCTGTTTTGTAGGGAATTCTGTACTGCCCAGTGTTCCACACTATCAAATGCCTTCTCGAAGTCAATAAATGCCATGTATAGTGGGATATGATATTCGTTAGTTTTTTTCGATTAAAATCTTCATCGTTAAAAGGTGGTCACTTGTACTGAAGCTCTTTCTAAATCCATCTTGTTCTCTTGCCTGGTATCCATCTAATTTAGTTGTTAATCTATTTGTTAATATTTTGGTTAATAGTTTGTACATCACATTTAGTAAAGTTATGGGTCTGTAATTATTTGGATCCTTTTTATCTCCTTTCTTAAATAGTAACAATGTTATTGCTTTATTCCAACTGTTGGGTATTTGTTTTGTCATTAGTATTTTATTCATAAGTATGTACAAAACTTCTCTAGTTGTTTTCCCACCATATTTTAGCATTTCTACAGTCACCCCGTCTTTTCCTGACGATTTATTATTCTTCATCTATTTAAGTGCTCTTCTTATCTCGTTCTTACTGATTTCTGGTTAGGTCGGAATTAACATTTTTTATTTTTATTTGTAATTGCTTAAGGATTTCTTGGGTTGGTCTCTGTTTTGTATTGTAGAGGTTTTTATAATATTCTTGTGTTATCTGTATAATTTCTTCTATATTATTGGTCTCTGTACCTTCTTTGTTCTTTATACCATTAATTTGTATGGTTCCAAGCTGTGGTTTTAAGCACTTCATGTTTTTATTTTGTTCAATTGCTTTTTCTATTTTTTCTTCCTGTACGCTCCTTTTATATCCCTTGATATTCCTTCTGATAGCTTTGTTTACCTCTTTGTAATCTACTGTGTTTCTCTTATCTTGTTCCAGTAATGTTTTTCTTTTACTCATGAGATTTTTGTTTCCTGGGATACATAGTTTTCTTTTTTATTTTTGTTTGTGCTACCTCTTTTCCCGCCTTTGCTAATGTATCGGTTAATAGCTGATTTATTTCATCGATATTTTTGTTTTCCAAATCTGTAGTGACCGGTATACTTTCCCTTATTTTTTGTTTTTATTCGTCTTTTGATTGCTTAAGTTTTTCCATACGCGGCAGAAACACGACCTGACACAGAGGACAAAAAGGATGTTGCAGACCAAAGAAACTGCAGACATGTAAACACTTATAGAAGAGTAGAACGGAAATATTATATAAACGGAATGACAATAAATAGAGTAGTAAAGACGGCAAGGTTCCCCAATAGGAAGACGATCAGTAGGAAAACCACGAAAACGATGGAACAACAGCTTACTGGAGGCACATTGAAAAACATGTCTACATAAAAAAGAAGAAGAAGAATTAAAATAAAACGTTTAAAAATGCTTCTTTTCGATTACATATGTACGTGTTTCAAAACTACACAACTTCTACACAAATTTTGTTAAAAAAAGTGGTTTCGAAGAGAAAAAATCATTTTGTTATAATTTGTTTAAAAATTGTTAGAAATTAATAGGAACCCGTGAAAAATTTTTGGGTAAACTTTTAAACATAATATATTGGTAACATAATCTATAGATTAAAATAAGTTTCAGCTTTTGAGTATAAAATCTAGCTTTTTCGGCAAAAGCCACCCGCCGCTTATTATAAATATGTATGTCTATTGTCTAGTCTAGTACCTGAAGGAGATTATTATTATTCTATTATATAGATTTGTATTTTGAGAACGATTTCCGAATTGGAAATTGAAACGTCAATAAACGTATTTTTATCTTTAATTGTGGCTTATTCCCAGTTATAAAATAGAGATTATTATTGATTCAAACTAAATTAGAAACTTATAAAAGAATGTAAGAGATTGAAAGAGTAAAGTATGAAAGATGATGATGAAGATGGTGTATTATTTGATATTATTTAGAGTAGTTTACAAAGAGATCATATTATACTCACCGACACGAAAAACGGAACACTTATTTAAAATATAATTTAAAGCATATTTAAAATAAAAGCTTAAAATTTGATTCCCTTTAAACTTTTATTATCATGATAACGTAAACATAAATAAAACAAACTGCTTTAAATAATATCCAATACAGATTTATCTTTTGAATAAAGAACAGTTTCAGTAGATAATTTAAAAATTAAGGGAAAAAACGTAAGATTATGTTGTAACAAAATGACGCTCAATTAATGAAATCTTAAATCATGTATCCAGACAAATTGATTTTAATAATGAATGTTTGCGCAAAACAGTGCTGGAAAAGGGCAACCTCACACTGCAAAAATTGGAGCGCAATAAATAAAATCTTCACGGCCATCATACTTAAAAGATTAACGAACAATATTTAATTTCGAGCTGGTCAAGCAGGCTTTAGACCAGAATCCTCCTGCATAGACTACATTAATCTTGTAAGGGTAATAAAGGAACAATCTCAAGCTAGATCTCAACAAATTTTGTTGAGATCGAGCGTGCCTTTGACAGCTTATCTCATGCTGTTTTATAGAAAATTTTAGAGCTAAGAAACATCTCGCATAAAATAATTTCCATTATAAAGTCACTGTACACTGAGGCGAAATACAGCGTGACACACAATGGAATCAACAGCGACGAATTTGACATACTTAATTAAATCAGACAGGGATGCGTGCTTTCTCCGTTTTTATTTAACATAGCAGTATACTATGTTCTCTCCAAACTAGACTCCGACACAAAAGGGATACGATGGACGTTAACCGTACGCCTAAGCGATCTGGAATACGCCGACGACATATGTCTATTAGGACAAAGGTTTCAAGATGTGGCTAATCAATTAGAAACCCTTTCTACTGAAGCCAATAAAGTATGTTTGAAAATCAATATTAGTAAAACCAAATCCATGAGACTAAATGAAAGAAACAACAAGCTATTTACTATCAACAACATGCAGATTGAAAATGTGGAAAATTTTACGTATCTTGGAAGTGTCATAACAGAAAGCGGAGGTACAGAGGACTATATTCGTATGAGGATACAAAATGCTCAACAAGCATTCAGCATGCTCAACCGTATTTGGAGATCTGCCGAATATACCACAAGGACAAAGACCCGCATGTATTTCATTTTAGAATATTTAGAAGTCAATAAAATACTCTAATCAACACCGATATTGTAGGTATAACTAACAAACAACAATAATGAACTTTGTACATTGTATATACAACAAAAGAAAACTTTTAGAAACTCATATAATTTTGTAGGCCAAAAACATCATACTTTAATGAATAAAATAGTATACATTCATCAAGAAGATTTTGCAGCCTGTGTTTTGTTATAAAATTGCACATTTGTTTTCATGCTCTTTGAGCATTGCCTTAAATTGACGTTTCAAGACATTACCAAAGGCAATGGGACAACGATTGGACTGTTGTTTGCTATTCTTTTGTAGCTCTTGTCGTCATTTGATATCATTTTTATTAATTTCTTCTTTTTTTCTCATTGTAATACAATGTCTTGTTTTTTCAATGTAGTGTAAGTTGGAATTTGGCTGTCCAACTTCAGACACTTTGTGCTAGGTAATTAATACGTTATTTTAGCCATTGGCTTGTCTGCCCAATATAGCAACTTTCGCAACATAAACACGGTAGTTTGTAGATTGCATCGCGTGCACATTATCACTGTCTTGTGTGTGGAAGTTGGGATACCGATGTCCAACTTTCATACCAGCGTTTGGGGGATTTTTCGTGATGTCTGCTGGTGTTTGGTTTCTATTTATTTGTTCTGTTTTGTTATAATCTATCTTATACTAAGAAGTAATAGGAAACCTTACAATTTGGAAAATATAGATACTCGAATACCTTGGAACTGTCATAATACGAAAACCAACTACAGTGGAGGAATTAAAAAATATATAACTGAGAATGAATGTGTACATGTTTTGAATAATAAAGCAAAAATGCGCCAAGGGACACAAATATATGGGAATACCACTTCAATATTATCAAAATAAAGAAAAAATCGACCAGGGATGAAGTGGAAAACTGAGAGGAAGATTTAAAGGATCTGGGCATTATTAGAAACTAGAAAAAGAAGACAAGAACTAAAAATAAATAAAATCAGATAATTAGACAGTTTCCTTGGAAATATGTTTTTAATCCAGAAGTTAAATACTAGGTACACTGAGCAGCTTGGGCAACTTATAGCAAAATGACGATCATGTCAAATAGAAAATTACAGAAGAGTTTGTTAAGGAGGCAAAGTATCACATGATAAGTAAAAGAGTAGCAAATCATCGGCCTATGTCGCCTGTAGAGCTAATTTACATACCTTAAAAAATACAATAACAAAAGCTGTATTTAAGGGAATAAACAAGAAACGTCTGTTTACTATGCACATAATGCACTTAAGAATGAATATTGTCTATTAAGTTTGGTACAACAATTTAATCGTACAACAAAGAGATTCAAATTGATACTGACTAGATGTACATTAGCAAATAATACAAAAGAAAATTACGTTTGAGTACTTAGATATTGAAATCTGCAGTTATTCAATATTGTTGCAAAAAGCAATTTAAATAAATCGCAAAAACATAGATTCAGTTTTAAAATATAAAAAAACCTATGTACGGACAGAAAAACTGCTATTAGATTACAATTATTGCATAATTGTAATCTAATAGCAGTTTTTCTATCCGTTATAATTAATAACTGTTAAGATGAGATTTTCGTTTATTTTAGTTAAATATTATTATGCATAAAACATTATAATAATAATAACAAAAATAGTACAGAACATATAGCGGAGTTAATGATGATTGATTTTCAAATATACAATGATAAATGTATTTTGTATAGGTCATTGAAAAACTATCAAGTAAATTAATAAAATAATAAATCAATTTGTTATTACTCCTTTATCACGAAAAAAATATTAAAAAGCACAAAGAAAATTGTAAACTTACCCAATAAAATCATGATTTAGTTTTAAATTTTCAATAGTCATATTAAGTTCTTTAAAAGAATGTTTATATAAATCACCAAGCGAAGAAAACGCCAACCGTAACGACACTCTATCAGTAGGTTGAAAATGTCCTCGAAGTTTTTCCAAGACATGATCGAAAGATTCCATTTTATCACAGGATATCGACGTTAATTTTACAAGAGCATCACTTTTGTCTGTCTTACATGTACAAGGGACGATTTCTTTCCATATCGGACAATGTTGTAAACTGTGCGTAACTCCTATAACGGAAATTAGGAGCACTAAAAGCATCCCTAACGGGTTAAAAACCATCACAACTGCCCGAATTTTCCGGCGTTTACATTTAAAAACACGCGCGCTGTTCGCTCGAAAAAAGCTGTTTAAGCTGCTCGTCGTCAAGTCAAGATAAAGCTGTTAGATGATGAGCGGTCAGTAGCTGACTAGCAGTGGCTCCTAAATTTTCTTTAGTGGCCTACGGTCGCATGTATGTGGCGCCACATAGCAGCTATATAATATCTCTATCAACAACCAGTCACTTCAAATAATCACGTTACCTAAATACTGGAAGTATATGCCGTATAAATCTAGTCAACGAATACATATACAGGGTCTTTCGAATCAATACACTGTAAGAAATGTTGCTGATTTTGTTTACTTATTATTTAACTTATTTACTAATATTTGCCTTTGAGTTATATTATTGCTGCATATCTTTTATAAGGTAAACCATTTGCAAATTTTTTTGTATCCACGGATGTTTACTTATTTAAATAATTTTATAGATGATTTGATGATGTGTATAAATTTAATACACGAAACGTCTTCAATAAAAGGATAAAGTAGCTGATATCCTTTCTTTTATTCTTCAACTGTTGACCGAGAACCCTCCACTATCCTAGTGAACTACATATATATATATATATATATATATATATATATATATATATATATATATATATATATATATATATATATATATATATATACCTATATATATATATATATATATATATATATATATATATATATATATAATATATATACATATATATATATATATATATATATATATATATATATATATAGGTGTATATATATATATATATATATATATATATATATATATATTATGTATTAATATTATTAATACATAAATCTGGCTCAGAAACCAACAGACAAAAATCTCAATCCACCTAAAGAAAAAAGCATTCGATCATTGTATACTACCAATTATGACATACGGCTGTGAAACTTGGACACTAAAAAAAGAGATAATATCGAAACTCAAAGTCACTCAAACGTCAATGGAGCGATGCATACTAGGTGTAGCAAAGAGAGAATGAGAAAGAATAGAATGGATCAGACAGAAAACCAAGTGGGCTGGCCCAATCCTTAAAATGACAGTGGGCTGGATATTTAGCAAGAAGAATTGACAATAGGTGGTCCACTAGAATTACACTGTCGTATCCAAGAGGCGTCAAAAGACCAAGAAGGCGTCCAAATTTAAGATGGGACTATGACATAAGGCTGACAGCACCCTGTTAGGGTCCGTGCCTGGGGTACAGGTGAAAACCGGTGAACGGTCTCGAGAGCAGAGGATGGCTAGAAAAGTCACAATGGTCGAGAGAGCGGAAGAACTAAAAGCGTCTGATCGAGAATGGGCGGCCGAAGAAAAGGTCCTCCAAACGTTAGGAATTAGTAACCTAATACACAGAAAAACGTAAGGGTAAGAAGAACGAAAATCGCAAGATAAAAAGCCAAATACGGAAGCACATCCTCATCGAGTGCCCATAGAGGGAGCCCCATCGGATACGGGGAGGGGGGCAATGTTGCGAAGAGTTCAACCAAAAATCAAAACGAAGAGAAGATATAACATTCATATGTGTAACGTGGAATATACAAGGATGGAACAAAAAGGCGAAGGAAGTGATCAAGGAGTTTAGAGAAAGCAACATCGATATACTACAACAGAAACAAAAACGAAAGGAAATGGAACGGAAACAATAGAAGACCATATCCACTGCTGGAGCGGAGTTAATAAAGAGTGTAGAGCAAAGGCAGGAGTGGGAATACTAATTAAAAATAAGTGGAAGAACAGGGTTAGAACATGGGAGCCAATCAACGAGAGAATAATTAAAATGCATATAATGAAACAGTGATGCTCGGAGTATATGCACCAACAGACGATTCCAAAGTAGAAAAAGAGCAACTTCAACATCAAATAGAGCTAATTAAAAAGAACATGGAGATAATTATAACATGAGACCATGAGGCAGAACCGGAAGGAAAGAAAACGGTAAAGTAGTGGGAATATTTGGAGAGGATGAACAAAGCGATAAAGGAACTCTGATTGAATATGCGAACTAAACAACCTAAAAATCACCAACGATTCTCAGACATAAAATATTCAATAACATATATGATAGGTACACATACAAGAAACTATATCATGGAAAGACTGAAAGGAATAATAGACTACATAATAATCAAACAAGATACCACAATAAAGATCAAAGATGTCAAAGAGTCAGAGAAGGGCAGAATGTGGAACGGATCATTAACTACTGACAGCAAAAATGGGCATTAATTGGAAACATAACAAAACCCCCTCTACAGAAGAACCGTTGAACACTATAAGATAAAAACAATACAAAATAGAACTACTCCAAGAACAATCAATAAGAGAACTATACCAACAACGTCTAGACCAAAAATTAATATAATTTAGATAGAAATAATTTATAAGAAATATACGAGCATATAAATGCGAGTATAAAATAAGCAACATTCGAAGCCCTTGGATAAAAATATCATATTATAACAAATAAACAGCACTATTATGAAATAAATGAACCAACAAAAAGAATAATTAAAGAAAAAAGCAGCTATACAGAAAATAGCTGACTACAAACAACGATGAAGTTTATAAAGAATATAGAGAAAAAGATAGAGAAGTAAAAAAACAAATAACACAACAAAAGAATGAAGAATGGGAAAGAACCTGAAATTAAATATTGAAACATATATAGGAGGTACAAGAACTTCGGAGTCATGGAAAGTACTGAGAGGATTGAAACAAAACTCAAAAGAAAAACTCAATCGTAGAGGATCAGGCAGGCTTCACGGCACAGACCACATATACACACTGGAACAACTGTTGGAAAAGAAAAAAGCAAAAAATAGAGATATACATTTGGTATTTGTGGACCTGAGAAAGGCGTATGACTCTGTACCAAGGTCAGAACTATGGGAGGCAATGTACAAATTAGACATACAGACGGAACTCATAGAAGCCACAAAAGCTCTGTATAAAGAAAATAGTGTGTCCATTAAAATGGGAACAAGAATCATAGGAGACTTCACCACAACAAAAGGGCCCCTGCAGGGTTGTTCCACATCTCCAACCCTATTCAAAATATACTTAGAGAAAGCCTTGACTACATGGAACAGAAAATGTGAAGGCATGGGAGTACCGGTATGAAACAATACCTATATACTTTGCAGACGATCAAGTAGTTATTGCACAAGACCAAGAAGACCTCAGTTACATGATGACGAAACTACAAGAAGGATATACCACGGCTGGCCTAAATATTAACCTAGCGAAAACAGAGTACATATCTACAAGTGAAGAAGACATAGAAGATCTACATATTGACGACAACGTATCAATCAAAGGAAAGGATAAATTCAAATACTTAGGCTTTATAATCACGAAAAAAGCAACAACACAGGAAGAAATTAAGCAAAGTTTAGGACAAACAAGAACAGCAATCCGACAACTTAACTCAGTATGGTGGGATAGACACCTAAATATGAAGACAAAAACACAGATTTATAAAACATTAGTGCGAAGTGTTATGACTGGGGCTGAAAATTGGATTACTAACAAGAAAAACAGCAATAAGATAGTAGCAACAGAGATGGAATGCCTGCGAAGATGCTGCAGAGTAACAAGAATGGATAAGAGAAGTAATGACGAAATAAAGCAAAGAATATCAAGAGAAACAAACTATCTTTGCCGCTTCTCGCATCCCTTAAGGCCATCCTTTTTTATCTACATATGAAGGCTCCGTTCTAGGAGCATTTATCCAAATTTCTCCTTCTCATCGCCTCTTTGATACCATATAGTCACAATGTAGATTAAAAAGATCACAAATACTTTTGATATAATCTTACAGGGCCTCATTCTTTGTTTTCCACTTTAGCCTGTTTGCATTCACTCCTAGGCAAAGGTCTCCCAGTTCTTCGCCTTTTTCTGTTTTGTGCTATTTGATGCCAATTTCTTCCGACTTTTGCTTTGATGTCATCTAGCGTTTTTGTGGTTTTCCTCTACCCTCCTCAATCTCAAGAAATTTTTTGTTTTTTAATTTCAATTTTTCTGTGTGTTTTGTATAAAATGAGACCCAAAAAAAAGAAAAATAATTTCTTTTATCGCGACCATCTTTAAAATCTAATGTCTCCTATTGGCGACATTGGGTTTTAAGAAAATCAAAAATTTTTTCAGAGTAACACCTGACATGTAGAACATTTAATTCTGACTGAATTGACGCACTGCTCATGTTTTATGATATAGCTTCAAGCAGTTTCTATTTTCTTGGAGGCATAGGCACACATGGCATGTGCAACACCTGATTCTGGCTGAGTTGGCTAAACATTCTTTCATTCGGCATCTGTTCTTTTTGACTGGTGTTGAGATTTCTGGTGAGTGCAAAGTGTGCTTTTTACGGAGCAAGTCTGGGGGATGGGATACCCTGGGTTGTTTCCGAGGAGGAAGTAAGGAACACTCATAATCTGGATCACTATCCTCCCAGCTCTTCTGATGACTATGGGCCAGAAAATATGCATACTCTTCTTTAAACCTGAAGAGATCCATGATATATTTTCTGTGGGTTCTTAATATCTGGTCGATATTTGATCCATGATGCTGGAATTGCGAAAGTCAAAAATATGCATGATAACTCTGACTGTCCATTTTTTAGAACGCGCAGAGGTACTGTAATAACTTATTATTCGATCCAAAAAGTCAATCCCTCTCATATCGGCATTGTAGACCTTAACTACCAGATGCATATTGACTTCAACGAATCTCTTTTGTACTTTGCATCATTTTGTACACTTATTTGACAGGTTGTTAGCCCTCTCTATTTGAAATCAAAACTACGATTTGTTATCAAACTATTTTACAATAGACACTTGCCCGTATAATCGTACGCTCTCATCAACTTTCTTTTTTCAAATGAGTATCAATTCGTAGCTTGGGGTTTTTGTGTATTCTTAACTCATTAAGTGCCCGTACCTGTAGCTTCTCTTTCTAAATGTAATAAATCTAAAAGATGTTCAGAATTAAAATATCGCTCCATATGAACTGAAACCCCGGGAGAAAACGTACTCAGAAGCTTCAAC